TCTGGGAATCTACATTCCCCTGCAGCCCCATCCTGTGACGTTTGCTTACTCATCTTTGTTCTATACTCTCAGCTTCTCTAGCAGGCCTGCAGATCTCTATATCTCTCAGGTGGTATTTCACACCACATCTCCTCAAATTCTTACTAGAATAAATAAAAACTTTATTCTTGGAGTCTAATATCCTTGTTATGCTACCCTCTCTCTCCTTCACTGTTTTTGCCAAATTTCTTCTCAAACTCTCTCATTTTCTAAAGACTAGATGCTTACCTTTTCATTTTCCATGCTAGTCAAAGTTCACCCATGTTTGCATCCTTCGCCATTCTCAAGAAAGAGCCTGAACTCTTAGTTCCTTTATCTCAGTCATCCTCTCCCACAACCACTTACTAGACCTCATCACTGGAATGTTTTAATTAAAACATTTTTCATTTACCCAGGTCTCTGTTCTTACCCTCCTATTCTTTCAATTCTCATTCTTCATTCCCTAGGGTACCTATAATTCTACCCTATTGAATTCTCCAGCATTTTATTTCTTTTCTTTACAGTCTACCAACCCTCCCCTCATTATTTCTTTCCCTATCTAACTCAGACCATGCAGTTTATCAATTGTGTACATTATTCTCTTGTTTATATTAAATCCCTTGCTTAGATGTTCTTATATCCAGTACATATAAAATTACCCTAATCCTGCAATTTTCTTTTTATCCCATACCTGTTGTTGTTCTGTGCCGTCAAGTCACCTATGACTCACAGTAACCCTATGTACAACAGCCCTAAAACCTGCTCTTTCCTGTGCCAGTCTTATTGTCTCTGATACATCTACTCCCATTACCCCACCACTGAATCAATCCATCTCATCCAGGGTCTTACTCTCCTGCGCTGTTCCTCTACCCTCCCAAGCATGGTTTCCCTCTCCAAGAACTGGTCCCTCCTTGCAACATGTCCAAAGTATGTCAATACTCTTCTCCAGCACCACAGCTCAAAGGCATTAATTCTCCTTCTATCATCTCTAGTCATTGTCCAGTTTTCTGATGCATAGCAAGTAACTGCAAAGACTATGTTCTGTATCAGGCACACCTTAGTCTCCAGAATGACATCATTGCTCTTCAGTACTTTGGAGAGGTCTCTGACAGCAGACTTTCCCAGTGCAATTCATCTTTTAAATTTCCTGGCTGCTGGTACCAAGAATGTTGATTGTGGACTCAAGCAAACAAAAGCTGCTAACAATCTCAGTATCTTCACCATCTATCGTGATGCTGCCAATCTGCTCACGTGTATTATTGCAGTGTCAATGAAAAGCATAAAAAGGATCATATGAAAACTTTGTGATTCATAATCTCTTTTATGATCTCTAACCTGCCTCCATTTCTCCAAGACTACTGTATGAAAACTTGTCTGTATTCCTTCAAATTTTTAATCTGGCTTCTGTCTTTTTTTTTTTAAAATATAATTTTTTAATTTAAATTTTTAAAAGTACATCTCATAATAAACTAGATTCAAATTTGTAGGTTTACTTTAATTTGGCTTCTTTCTAATTTCTGTCTCCGAACAGTTGGCTTCACATCCTATTTCACAGAAAGGTTAAACAACTTTCTCAAAGTCAAGTGTAAGACAAAGTGAGAGAATCAAGTATTTGGAACCCAAGTTGGCCTGACTGCCAAGAACATGTGATTAACTCTTATTTATTATTGTCTATAGAGGAAGAAAGGTAAGAAGGCCTGGTGGTGTAGTGGATAAGAAGTTGTATGGCTAACCCAAAAAAGATGGCACCTTTCTGGAGGTTCGAATCCACTGGCAGCTCTGTGGGAGAAATGGAGCATCTCCTTCTGTGAGGTTTATAGCCTCTGAAAACCCTCTGGAGGATCAGTCATGAGTCACTTCCATCTTGGCAGCAATGAATGAGTGTGTAATTATTCTTTCCTGAAGAAGAAAGATAGGCCGTGTCCTCCCACAAAGATTTACCTGTGTTAGAAATCTGATGGTGAGGTTTACCATGAGCTGAACTCAAGTTGACAGTAGGACATTTCGTTTTGAATATTTTGTTGTTCAAGCAACGACATCTGGCTGGAGACTAAGGTGCACCTGATCTGAGCTATAGTCTTCACAATTATGTGCTATGCACTGGAGAGTTGGACAGTGATTAGGGATGATAAAAAGATAATTGATGCCTTTGAGCTGTGATGCTGGAGAAGAGTGCTGAACATACCATGGACTGCTAGGAAAACAAATAGATTTGTCCTGGAGAGAGTGAAGCCGGGCTGCTTGTTGGAGTCAAGGATTCTGAGGCTTCATTTGACATACTTTGGGCATGTTTCAGGGAGGGACGGGTCCTTGGAGAGGAACATCATGTTTGGGAGAGTGGAGGGACAGCACAGGAGAGGAAGACCCTAGATGAGATGGATCAATTCTGTGATTGGGGTGGTGGGAGTGAGTGTGCCGGAGTTGGTGAGTTTGGCACAGGACAGAGCAGGGTTTAGGGCTCTTGTCCATAGGGCCTCTATGAGTCACAAACAACTTGATGACACGTAAGAACAGCAGCATTGCTGTATTCCATCAAGTTAGAACCAACTCATAGCTGACCCGCCAGCGGGTTTTCAGAGCAATTTAATCACACTCTAAAATATGACCTAAGCCTAGTACCTTTGGAGGATGAATGTACGAGTATCTATTTGTGATTGGGATGAAGGTAGGTGCCTGGTACGAAGCCACAACTGAACAGATCTGATGGGTAGAATGGAAGGGTCTTCCCACCATACTGATTTAATCTGATCTCCATGCCCTGGTGGGGGAAAAGAAGAGGACAGTGGACTGAGCAGCTCTTTTGTGAAAGATAATTCCAGGGCTGATTGAGGTATGAGAAGAATTTCTAGGATATGAATTCAGAGCCACAACAGTCTATTAAAAATGTAGACCTTCAGCAGGAATCAGCTCTGGTCTATCAGTACTTTCCAAGAAACCAGAGAGATACATAACCCAGGAAATAAGTGAGTAAAAACCAACCTCACCTGTGACCCATTTATCCCCTGCCTCTTTGCCCTGGGTTTTCCAGTCACCCAGCTTCGACACTGCTCTCCCTGTATCTACAGCCCACACTTTTGGCTTCCTCATACCTTCCTGCCAGGCTCATTCTCCTCTCACACACACCAGAACTCTGTCTGCTGTGGCAGCTCCTTTGTTTACTTCCAGAGCTCCCAGCCCCACCATCAGCCAAACACAACGAAGCCTGGCCAGCAGGGCTAGGCTCCAGGTTAGTCTGGCCTCTCAGGGACAGGTAACAGTCTCCAAGCCAAGGAGGCAGCTCGAAGGTAAGCTGCCCTCTATACTGGGCACTTGCTTCAGCTCCTGACAGCCCAGTTTCAGGCCTAGAGGGAAGAGACACAAGACTTGCCCAGAGCTGGGCAAAAACCCCTACTGTTGAAACAGCTTTGGCTAGGAGCCCCGAGAATCAAAGACCCAGCTGGACAGAGGTGGGGGGAAAATTGAGGCCCCCTGGGTGGAGCCAGAGGACTAGACTGCCTCCTTCTGCTTCTCCCTTTATCTTTTTATAGCCAAATAGAATTGAGTCCTGAGGTCTTATGCCAGGGACCCAGACCCCCAAGTTTCTAACCAGAGTGACAGTGTTCTCTTCCCAAGTGTTCATGTTCCATGTCTCCCAAATGATTCTAGTAAAGAAAGGGAAGCATTGACTCTGGGCTAAGCTCCAAGCAGGAAATATTGTCAAGATGTGTCTGGCATTGGTCAGAGTTACTGAGGAGACTACTTATCTAATGGGTTGGCTCCAACTCGGTTTCTGGAGCTAGGGGTAAAGGGGTGGGAGGTGGCATGAGAGCAGTGAGGAGCAGTGAGGGTGCCAACCTGAAGGATAACAGGGCCACAGACAAGATTACATGAAGGACAGTGGTCAGTGGCAAATAGAAGATGTCTCACTACAAGAGGAAGAGATCAGAGGCAGCCCAGATTGCCCACTGAGAGGTCTTTTAAATGGTGGCCACACACCCCAGTATGTAGGGGTAGGACAAGGGTCCAGGGCAGATGCTGATAAAGGAAGATATGGTACTGGAGGAAATGAAATCCCCAATTTCCCTACCACTTAGGAATCGCTTTAGGGGACAACAAACTTGACTAAGGAATGTCAGAAAGAGAACTGAACTCTGTTGCCAGGCCCCAGCGGAGCAGGTGGAGCTGTAGAGCAGCAGGCCTTGGAAGGAGCAGGAATGGGGTTAGAGGTGCTCAGCCTGTACTTGCTGTCCCATTTCGCTTCAGTTTCTACATGTGGGGGCAGGGAGTGAGCCCGGGGAACCAATGTTCATTCACATGCAAGGCAACCCACCTCCTCCTCTTCCTAGACTAGTCATTCTTTGCCAGGTTACCACGTCCCCTAGAGGAAACAAGAAATCTGCCACAGTGCTAAGCACAGTTTTGCTTTTTTATCTAATCAATGTACATTTTAATCATACAGTTTAACAGACTCATATACCTCACCCCTTGCCCAGGCCTTCTCCGGATGTCCCACCCCTGCCTGATGAGCTACCATTTGCCTCAGGTAGAGGGAGCAGGATATCACTGGACACCAAGGTGATTCAAGAAAAAGGTGGCACCTGGGACTCTCCCAAGAGACTCCCAGGATAGCGCTAGGTCTCTCTGGAGAGTTCTGAAACCAAAGGGGCCCAGTTACAGGACATGGGCTGAGCGGCATTGGAAAACATTGTCTCCTGGGACTCAGTTCCACTCAAAGTCTGTCTCCCTGGGCTAAGGCTCTCTGTCAGTCAGAGTAACCAGCAGAGATCCTCCAACACGAGGACTTGTGGATGGAGAGGGGAGGAACCTTTGGCTCATCACAAAGAGAGTGCCCAATGCTCTTGGGGATCCCTGTCATCCAGGCTGGGTAGATGCTTCGAGCTACAGCTGCCAGACCCATCTGTGACTCCGTACGTGCAAGGAGGGGCGCCTATGACCAGCATCCCAAGGATGTGCTGTCTGGGGAAGTCAGAGGGCGCTTGCTGCTACCTGCAACCACAAGACTCCACCACCATGTCCTCGTACTGCTTGTAGACCACATTGTTGGCAGAGTCAATGAAGAGGATGCTGATAGGGCTCAGCCTTGTGGGGACACAGCAGGTGGGTGGCGTGGACTCAGGGTCCATGGAGTTCATCAGCGTCTGGATGACCGCGTGGTTCGTGGGCTCCAGGTGCGAGCGCAATGGGAACTCACAGAGCCCTTCGCAGTGGAAAGCTTCGTACTCGAGGGGCGCAATGATCCAGTCGTCCCAGCCCATGTCCTTGAAGTTGACGTGCAGGGCCTTCCGACTGCAGCGCGCTTTGGGGTTCTTGCTGGGCCGCTTGCCCTGGCGAGTGGCCAGCGGGGCCCGCCGCTTCCGCCTCTGGCTGAACAGGTATTCATACACAGTCTTGTCATCCTGGCCGGAGCGGGCCTTGATCTCATTAAAGAATAGGTCCCGTTTCTTGGTGCGGCCAAACACCAGGAACAGGGCCTTCTCGTGGACCTGTCGGGCAACCCGGTCAAAGCCCAGGCCACGGAGGTCCACGGCCCGGCCCCGTTCCCAGGCTTCCAGCTCCAGGCACAGCTGGGCCGAGTTCTTAAAGTTTCGGAAGAGCTTCCAGATGTCGAACACCTCCCAGCCAGATCCACCCAGGCCTGGCACGGAGCGCACATCCAGCAAGGCTGCCGGCTGCCGGCCGCTGGGGCAGCTGGACAGCTTCAGCTGGGCAGTCCGCCCGCCGCCGGGGGCCACTGGCTTGGCCGTGTCCGAGGGCTTCTTCCGCAGAATCCGCAGCTCGGCCCCCAGCAGCCCGTCCTTCTCCAGAGCGCTAATGTCAAACACATACCTCTGCTTCCTGACCGCAGGGCCTCGGTCATCTAGAAAGAACACCCAGAAGTCAGATGTCACCCCAGGTCTCAGGGGAGGGTCGCAGAGTCAGAACTTAACTTCTGTAACCTCTTCCCTACTCTGCCAGGGGCCAAGACGCAAACCACTTACAAAATGATCTTCCTATCTAGCCGACCAAGCAGGGGTGTGGGTCTGTAGATGTGAGGGTGGATGAGTGGTTCTCTGTCGTTCTGGCAGTTTGTGTCAATTGATCTATGTGTGTCAGAGACTCACCAATCACTTAGAACGGGCTTTCCCTCAGTCTTTGTCTAATGAGATACCTCATTTGTGAGGTTTACCATTCTTCTCTTTTCACTAGAGTGGGAACCTGAGGCTCAAAGAAGTGAGGTGACTTATTCCAGGTCATCCTGCTAGGAAAAATCTAGAGGGGAAACTGTAGCCAGAACTTTGTAGACTTCAAACTAGGCTGCTTCTGCTATACCTTAAAAGGGATCTTAGTGCTCTTGTTTGATAGATGAGGCACAGAGAGGTCAAGTGACTTGCCTAAGGTCACACAGTAAATTAAGGACAATACAGGTCTACAGTCTAGTTTCCCTAAGCTTCAAAGTTGGAGGTGTTTATTGTACACATGTTTAACCCCGCTGAATGTCTGAGTGTGTATATATAAGACCATTTGGGTGTGTATATGATTGGGTTCATATGTGAGCATTGAAAATAGTGTATGTGGCATGCTATGTGATTGAGCTTATTATATGCACAGTTTAAAGGTGTGTGTCTATGCATTTGTACGTGTATGATCCTTGTGTAAGATTTTGTTCATGTGTGTATGTGTGTCTGATCGAACATTTATACAGAACTATCTATGACTGTAAGTGTGTACGAGAGGTTCAGTGGTATGTCCAAATCAGCATGCCGTCTTTTCAAAATACCAATTTGCCATTGGGGAGCTTTCATATATTCTCTAGAAGGTGACTAATTAGGCCTTTAAACTCCCCATCTCCCCCTCTCCAAGCTCCCTTAGTGCTGGGGGGCACAAGGACTTATTTTATGATCCCCCAAGGGGTCACAGCTTTCCCTGGCTGGGCAGGCAGCCAGGTCACCTCCCCCACCCTAGCCAGACCTGCTGCCTCTGTGCCTCCTCACCCCACCCCCTCTTACTCCCCTACAGGCCAGCCCTAATGAGGAACCTCTCCCACTCTGACCCCTCCCCCACTCCCACTCTCACCAAAATTCCAAGACTTCCAGAACCAGAGCACATAGGCTGTGAGGAGCAACTTTACCGATCTGCTGGTCCAACCCGCCCCCCCCCCTTCACAGTAATGGAGAAACTGAGGCTCTGGTAAGGGAAGTGACCTGCTAAAGTCACATAGCAAGTTTGGAGAAGGCAATAACATGCAGTGAGCAGGAGATGAAATAGGGGAACAGGTATTATCCTAGATGAATGATAAAAATCATCAGTATTTAGTTCTGTCAAGACAGGACATAAGGTTTTCACATTTGAAGGACTCTCAGAAGTCATCCATTCCAACCTCCACATCATTAAACAGATGGAGAGACTGAGACACCTGGGGAGAAGGGTTTTCCAGAGGTCACATTGTCAGACCCTAGGTTTCCTGCCTCCTCATGCATTGAAACATTGGTTTCTGTCACCAAGATGCCCCACTTACTGTCTTCACCTACCCTGCCACACCCCCAGCCTGAAGCTAAGGTTGAGAAACCATCTAGACATTCATCTCCCTCTGCCCTGACATCTATCTGAGAAAACCTACAAAAACCCTCTGGATCCTGGAACATTTGGCCAACTTGCATAGGTACATAGCATGGCTTGCCAATCAAAGATCTGAGAGTCTGGTCCCCAACTCTGCCAACAGCTGACTGTATGACCCTGAGCAAGTGTGTCTCCTTTCTGTCCTAAAGGGTCCCCTTTTGCATCCTGCCAGGATTGGTTTTGGTAATTCCTTTGAGCCTTGGAACTCTGACATGCCCTCAGCCCAAGACCTGGACTGTGTAAGGTTAAAGTCCCAGACACTCATCCCCGGCCAGATGCGCACACACTAACCCACCAGTGTAGTATAGCGGCTCTGAAAGCCCCTCCATGCATACCGACGCCCCTCCCTCAAGAGCAGTGCCCGTGCGACCCCGCCCCCTCACCTTGCCCTTTGTCAATAAAGCTGGTGATGGTGTTGGCCAGGCCAGCCTCCAACTTCACGCTGCTGTTGCCTCCCTTTCTGTCAGCATCGGACAGCGTCCTGTACAGCGAAAGCATGTACTCATGGGGCGTGATGGGGGGCGGGCGGAAAGGCTCCTTGGGCTCTCGGGAGGACCCAGGCTCTCTGGCCTTCTTCAGCAGGAAGGTGTTGGGGGCAGATCCTCCCTTGGGGTGTGTCTTACCCCCAGGAAGCTGTCCTTTTGGGGTCACAGTCCGCGCTGCAGCCTGCCTGGTCTGGGGATGGTGTCCTGGCTTGGGTTCGGCCCCACCCGATTTGGGGGGCAGCTTTTTGGGTTCATCCTTCTTGGGCTGTGTCAGGCCTCCTGTCTGCCCACTGCCCCCCTTTGCCCTGGTATTGGTGGTCCCTCCACCATAGCTGTGACCCCCTGGCCTGAAGATGCTCCGGGCCAGGGGTGCCCTCTCTTTGGCCTCTGCTTTGGTCAGTCCTGGCCTGGTCCCCTGGGGTCTCTGTCCCAAGTCAGGGGCACCCAACACAGTGCAGATGAATTCCAGGTCCAGCCAAACCAGGTGCCAAAGCAAAAGAGTGAGGAGTTTGGGGAGTCTCATCCTCTGGACAGCTGAATGGCACCAAACGGAGCGGCGGCAGCAGCGAAGGTGCCTCTGGTTTGGCAGGAAAAATCATGAAAGAAGTGGACCCTCAAAAGCAGCGGCAGCAGCAGTAGCAGCAGAAGGAAGGGCTTTCTCCTCTGTCTGAGACTCTTTAAGTCTGCCGGGCGTGTGTTTGTATCCAGTCCCATAGTGGAAATGCTCTCGTATCCAGACGTGCACCCGTCTCCAGTCAGCAGCTGAAAATAACTCGTTCTTGAAAGGAGAAAGCCGACCGCCCCCTTTCTCCTGCACAACTGACTGAGGGCTTGAAGGAGGCTTGTATAAGGCTGAGGGATTTTTCCAAGAAGGAAGAATGGCGTAATGCTGCCTGTGTGCTCCAGTTTTTTTTTTTCTCTCTCTCCTTTTTTTTTTTTAAGTTTTGAATCCTTTCCAGTGAAAATACTTCACACACACACACACACACACACACACACACACACACACACACGCCTGCAGGTGCTCAGAAAAATCTTTTTACAAACCTGAACTCAGGAATTGGAAACGGAATTCCAACCCAAACCAATTTAATTACTCTCTGATGTCATGCTGTCTAAACTCATTTAAGTGCAATATATTTATGTGAAAAAATTCACGGCTGCCCTTTCGAGGCCATGGCTCACGGGGGCGCTTGGCACAGAGCCCTGCGGTGGGACTTGAGGCTTAGGGGCCTCTGGGTCTATGGAGCAGTCTTAGGGGTCTTCACCTCTGCCTGGCTGAGCAACCCACCCCACCTTCCTGAAGAGAGATGCTGAGGAATGAACACAAGGATCCCAAGAAACACAGGGAGTTTGGGTTTCCAGTTAAGTCCTTGGAGTATTTTTAAAGCAGTTATAGCCCCTGCGTCTAGTCTGGGGTCTGGCTTGTTTTGGGGGGCGGCACAGATGGCAGCACTTACCCAGTTTCTTTTATTTGAATAAACTTGTGGTGACCCAGAGACAGAGAGCTATCAATGCCTACTGCCTTCCCTCCCCCAAACACCCTTGACTGAGCTCAGATGATCTCCTCAGGCTCAGGGGCACTGCCACCCCAGAGCCCACGTTTCAGAGGAGGCACGTCCCAGGTGGACTCCCATAGCTACCCCAGCAAAGATGTCCTGGGAGTTTTCTTGGAAAGAACCACTTTAGTCTAGAGGTAGCAGCTGTAGCCTGGGGCAGCAGCGACCCCTTCAGGAGGCTGGAAAAGAGATTTTTTTTTCCCCCCCAAATGTTGCTTTTCTCGCAGCAACTGAAGAACTAGGAACTTCAGTCAATGCAAGGGTTTCTTTAAGTACCTCACTAAATTCCTGAAACCTTCTTTTAGGGAGCTTGTCCCTTGGAACCTCTGGGTAGCTCACCACACAGTTACTTGGAAAAACTGTTCTTGTAAGCTGGAATGTCCTCCTCTCACTCTGCAAGTGGAAGAAGTCCTCTTCATCCTGAGAAGCCCAGCTGGTAATTCACCTCCTCCAGGAGGACTTCTCTGGTCCCCACACAGAGTTAGTCACTCCCTCTTATATTTCTCGCTACAATCTGAGATTGTCTGAACGTGCTTAATAGAAGTCTGTTTGTACCCTGAGGATGCCAAATTGGTTTCCTTCAAAGCCCGATTTCTCTAGAGCAGACACTTAGCAAGTGTTTGACAAATAAAATTAATCCCTTTCCCAGGGTATCCAAGCACCAGCCTGTCTTCATGGTGGTTTTTCCAAGTCCTCAGAGGCTACTGGACTGAGCACAGTGGCATCACTTGGTCATTCCAAGCTTCTTCTGGGGCTGTCAGATCAAGAAACTCCACCTTCCCAACTCCAAGGGCCAATGCACTACCAGGCACCTTTGGGGAAGCTTAAGAAAGGGCTAAAACAATAGACTTGAACACATCAATGGTCATGAAGACTAGGTAACGTTTTGTTCTCTTTTACACAGGGCCACCCTGAATCAGAGCCAATATGATGTCAGTGAAAAACAACAACAAGTTGCAGTGTTGGCAAAGAGTGTTGAACATACCATGGGCTGCCAGAAGAACAAACAAATCTGTCTTGGAAAAGGTACAACCAAAGTGTTCCTTAGAAGCAAAAATTGTGAGATTTTGTCTCACTTACTCTGGGCATATCCTCAGGAGAGGCAGGTCCTTGGAAGGGGACAATTATGCAAACTTTTTTTTAATTATTATTAAATTTTATTAGTTTCAATGAACA